TCGTTCGGGGCCGCGATGGGGGCGGCCCAGGGGCATTCTGGGCATGGCGCGAGGCGCGCTGGGCCCACCTGCCCTGGGCAGGATCTCGTCGGTCTCGTTGGAAACAATTGGCTCGCCGCCACGTTGAGCTTCAGGCGGCGTTGATTGCCTCGACGGCCCGACGGGCCCATCCCGTTTCCCATCCTGCCCCGCCTTCCTAGCGGCGCGTCCCTGCCCCCCCCCTCCCCCCCTTTTCCCCGTGGCCTCATCTTCCTTTCGCATCCATTGTTTGCGCCGTCGGCGTTAGCTTTTGCCCCCCTTCCCCCCTTTTCCATCTGAGCTGACTTGACAGTTTTTCTGATCCAGTTGCTTGCTTCTCATGGACAGGTTTGTTTGGTAATTGATTGTCCCTTCGGGCGCGATGTGCCTTGCCTGCCTTTCTTGTTATGCTTCTCCCTGTGCAAGTTGCGGTTCCCTTGGGTGTCGCTTCTCCCGGTCTGTCCGGCGTTGTCTTTTCTCACCGTTCTTGTTTATTCCTGCCTGCTCTCGGTTCCTTGGGCCCTGCTGGTGCCCCCCCCGTTCCTATTGTTGCTCTTTTACGCCTCTCCCCTTGTTGCTTGCTGTGTGCCCGTTTCCTCCTCCTTTCTCGCGGCGCCCCTGCGTTCGGCAGTCCGTTGGCCCGAGGTGAGGCTTGCGATCCAGGGCCCATTCCCTAGTGAGGATGCCGCCCCTGCTCGATGGTTGTCGAAGTCTCCGCGGAGCTGGGGATGACCATCGGTCTGTTCATTGGTGTTGGGCGGGGCGATCGTTTGCTTCCAAGGAGCTTCTGCGCGTCTGGACAATTCTTCAGGCCGCTTTCTGCTTTGCGTCGGGCGATCTGGGGCGGCTACCATATGTGGCTCCACCACCCGACGGTGGATACTCGCGACCGCGTGGGGGATGCCGCTTTGGCCCTGCTGATAGCGAAGCATCCGCGGTACCCGCGAGGCCCGCGGGGCCATGCCCCGACGCCTGTCGCTGAGCCTGGGGCCCTGCAGGTCGGCCCCCCCAGGTCTCGTCTCGCCCCCTTGCCGACGCCAGTGAGGGGCCCGCCCGCGGATGAGTCTCCGCCCCTCCGTCGCCCTCTCTCTCTGCTCCTCTCTGTGCTTCCCCCCGCCCGCGCCCCGCCGCCCGCTGCTTTCCCTGCCGCCCCGCGCGGCCCTGTGCCAGCTGGACGGGCTCCCCGAATATGCCTTTTTGTTTCGTTTCGGCTGGGAACTGGCGGGGCCTTGCGGTGACGGGCTCCTCCGTGGCGCGCACCCGGCCACGCGCGGGTTCCCCCCCCCGCGCCCGGCTTTCTTTTTCCGTTGTCCCGCGCCGTTTGTTCATGTTTCAGCAGGGCTCGAGGTAAACGTTGTTTTGGCAATTTCGTGGACCGTTTTCGTTTTGTTTTCGTGTTGCAGCAAATGTGGAACGAAGACAGAACTAGGGATGACGAAAACAAAACGAAAACGGAAAACACTGTTTAACTTGAGCACTGTGTTTCAGCGCCAGGCTCTTGCCGCGGCTGTCTTGTGCGCCGCCGCGCGCGTGGCCCGTTCCTCCAGCTGGCGTCTCGTTTTTCGCGGGGCCCTGCCCCCCCCCTCTTTTTTGCCCCGCGTTGCGTTGTTGTGTTGTGCGTTGTTGAGTTGTGTGGTGTTGTGTTGTTGGACTGGGTCCTTCGCTTGCGCGTTGTGGTTTTGCTGATGAATCGTGCGCGACCCCTGGCTGCCGCCAGGGTGAGATGGGCGCCGGCGGCAGAATGCCTTGCCGCCTCTCTTCGGGAGCCTTGAGACGGGGGTCAGTGCAAACGGAGGTCAGCCACAAACGCCAGATCTTGCAGGATACTACACGGCCAGGGTCGCGTTGACCCGGGCTTGGGTGCAGGATCCTGCAGGATGTTGCAGGATCCTTCGCATTGACCCGGGTTCGGGCGCAGCACTTGCAGGATATTGCAGGATTTTGCAAGGCCTGATTGACCGTGGTCTGGATTGGCCCGGGTCAGAAGGTCCCTGGTACCTTTCTTGTTGCCCCCTTTTTCGCGCTCCCTCTCTCTCTCTCTCTTTCTCTCTTTCCCTCTGTTTATGTGTCTCTTGTTGTTCCCCTCTCTCTCTCTCTCTCTCTTTTTCTCAGGTTCCTCTTTCTCATTGTTTCTCTCTCTCTCTCTCTATCTCTCTCCTTCTTCCTCTTTCTCTCTCTGTCTCTCTCTCTTTCTCTATTGCTAAGGCCTTACGGCCGGCGCCGCCGACCCTGAAGACGACGACGACAAATACGAGCAGGAGGAGGCTGAGGAGGAGGAGGAGGAGGAGGAGGCGGGGAATAGGGTAGCAGGAGAAAACGGAGGAAATGCTTGCAGGGATGTGGGCCGAGGGAGTCGTAGCAGAGACAGACAGAGAGCCTTGTGGCCTGCGGCCCTTCCAGCCACCGTGCTGGGGTTGTGGTTGCAAGTCCTCTTGGATGTTTTCGGGCCTGTTGGGGCCTCTATTGGCCTCTTAGAAGTATCTTGGGGGCTTCTTCGGGCCCCTTGAGGGGCTGTTGGGGCCTTCCATGATTTTTTTTTGGCGGGAAGCTCGAAATGTCGGTTCGTGGTCCTCTTCTTGGGCCTGTTGGGGGCCCTCTTGACGCGTCTTGGCGCTTTTTTGGAAACCGGGACGCCCAGGGGCGGTTGCGTATTGGACCCCCCCCCCGGACTTTCTCGGGCCCCCCCCCTCGGCGGGGGAGGGATCAAAGGGAAGGGGCTTCCCTTTAACTTAAGTGCGACGCTGCTACGGCTTTCTCTCGCTGGCAGGCTTGAAGAGGAGGGTGCAGGGAAAGGGGGACGGAGACGCAGGGAAAGAGGACAACGGATGCGTCGACTGAGCGCACGCCGACAAGGGGTCCACACGCCGACAGGGTCGGCGGATTCTTGGTGTTGGTTTGGCACGTTGCGTCCTCCACATTGACGCGCTGGGTGGTGGCGCGGGTCACCCAATGCGTAGGGAAAAAATCTCCTCTTACTCGTTGTCCCTGCCGTTTCTGCCGTTTCTCGCTATGCAGCGTCTAGTCGTGCGCCCCGCGGGCGCGGAGCGCACTGCAGCGGCCCATCAGGGCCGTGCGGGCACTCAGACGGCGGCCCCGGGAACCCGACCCCGAGGGAGGGGGAGGACCAGGGACCAATAAAATCACAGAGGGGGAGGAAGGGGCCGGGTTTTCAAAAAAGAAGGGGGCCCGACAGGGCCCTCAGCGTGCGCCGCGCGCGGCCGCCCACTCAGGCAGCGCGGCACGGCGCGCGGCCAGGCCGTCGGCCTCTTCGTGGGCCGGCGGCCGCACGGCAGTTCGCGAACCAGAGGTACTGCTGGCCTCCGTAGTGCGCGAACCCGCGGTACTCGACCCAGACGTACAGGTCGAAGTTGCACTGCCTGTTTCGTTGTCCCTCCTCCTCCTCCTTCTCCTCCTCCTCTTCCTCCTCCTCCTCCTCCTCCTCCTCCTCCTCCTCCTCCTCCTCCTCCTCCTCCCCGTCCCTCTGGGTTGGGACGGCCCTGTCGGCGGGGATGGTGCCACCCTGCCAGTGAACAACATACTCTCTTCAGATGCCCCCCCCCCAGTTTCCTTTTCTCTCCTCGCCGCCAACTCCCTCCTTGGACCTTCCCCTTGGCCCTCCCTTTTGGACCTCCCTTGGACCAGGAAGAAGGACAAGGACAGGGAATCCCTCCTCCTTGGACCTTCCCCTCCCTTCTCTTACCCGGACGCCGCCAGCTCCCTCAGCGCTTCGGGGGCTCCCCGTGCCAGTGGCCTCCTTCGCCCTGCCCCCATCGCGCCTCCGCCACTGCGCTGCGGCCCCCATCGCTCCTCCCCCTGCTCGCTCTGCAGGGGGAACCCGTGCCGAGACACGCCCTGCTTGCCTCCAGGGTATTGGCATCTCTCGGACGTGTGCATTTTTCCTTCGGCGAGGACCATCGAGGAGCATCCTTGATCACTTGGGGAAGAAACCACGCACGAAACCGAGCAAAAACACAGGGAATGGACGTCCGAGCGATGGCCAGGGGTGCCCAGGGGCTTTTTGGGCTCCGATGGCCTGGCTGTGGAGGGCGTCACCCGAGATCAATGGACGTCCGGGGGACTCGGGGTCGAAGGTCTTTTGTGGTCGAGCTCCTGCTGCAAGGGCTCCCCCGAGGGCGCGAAGTTATTCGCGCTTCGCGCTTCGCGGTCCTCGTTTCTCCTCCCCCTCCTCCTCGTCCTCCTTTTCTCCCTTTGGGGGGGCGGCGCGAGAGCGCGAAGTTATTCGCGCTTCGCGGAGCGCGAGAGCGCGAAGTTGGGAGCCCTAGCTACTGCATGGGGAAAAGGCCCAGGGTCGGCCACGCGCACAGGGGGCAGCGATAGGGGGAGTGGGGCAGGCGCTTTGCTTGAAGCGCCCCTGCCTCTCAGAAGGCGCATTTGCAAAAAAACCAAAGATTGCAAAAAAACCCAGGATTGCAAAAAAAACCGAAGGATTGCAAAAAAACCCGAAGGGTTTTTTTGCAATCCTTGGTTTTTTTGCAACGCCTCGTCCACAGATGCAGGGCTGCTCCCCCTCCCCCATAACTGCCCCCTTGTGCGCGCTGCCAACACGGGGGGGGGGGCGGATCGACCCCCTGCCGCCCACTCATCGCCGACAGGGCTCGATGGCCCCAACATGCCCAGGAACGTGCGGATCTGCCATCGGGGGCCTATCGCCGATCTGTCGGAGATGTATCGCCGATCCCAGATCGATGTTTAGGGGAACGAAGGGTGACACAAACATAAAAACTCGGAGGTCCGCACGGATTTCTCGGATCGGCGCTGGACCCCCCTCCCTGGCGCGCGGAGCGCGCCAGGGGCGGCGCCGGAGGCGCCGCCGGGGGGCCCCAGCGCCGATCCGAGAAATCCGCGCGGACCTCCGAGTTGTTATATTTATGCCACTTTTTGTTCCCCTAATCTTCCCACCCCATCTGCTAATCCCCCCTTATCGTTCCCAATCATCTATGCACCGCCGCGCCGGCCCCCAGGCGAGGGAGTGCTCCGAGGCTGCACGGCCGGGGCTGCCGGACGACGACGACGGGGGCGTTGGTTCTCAAAGGCGGGCGAGTTGCGGCAACGGCAGCTGGCCTTCGAGGGGGGCCATCGCCACGGCTGGACGCAGCTCGGACAACTGGCGAAGTTGGACCCTGGAGGGGGTCTGGGGACCGACTTGAAGCTGCTGTTGTCTCCACTCGCCCTGCTCCGAGGTTCGGGGTAGGAAGCAATACCAGCACCGGCGCTGTCCTTTAGACCCCCCGTCGCCAGGGCTGGATTCTCGTGGAGATTCTGGGCAGAATGCGCCCCGGGAGAAGTTTTTGGGAGAGGTGGAGTAGTGCCCCTTTTCCCCAGTGGTGTTGGTGGAGGTGATGGTCGCGAGGTCACGCGGAGGCAAGCTCGTTGCGGATCGTGATCGATGCGCGAATTGCTGCAGATTGTGACGAGGGGCCGTACTTTTGGAATATATGTCATGTTGCATACTCCCAGTGTGTCCGTTCTGCTCGAGGCCATATGTTTGCTTGTTTGGATGCTTATATTGATGTTCATGGAGGCGAGGTGATGCTTATCATGATAATGGTTACGAATGTAATGGCACTTCTGATCAGGAGCTGTAATGGTATTTGCAACGATGGCGGCAACGAGGACTATGATGATGTTGTTGTTGATCAGCAGCAGGGAGGGGGAGGAGGAGGGGGAGGGAGGAGGGTGGAGGCGGAGTAGGAGGAAGGAGGAGGAGGAGGAGGAGGGAGGGGGAAGAGGAGGGGAGGAAGGAGGCGGAGAGGAGAGGGGAGGGGGAGGAGAGGGAGGAGAGGGAGGAGGACGAGGGGAGGAGGGAGGAGAAGAGAGGAGGATCCAGGGCAGGCCCGGCCGCGGCAGCCGTGGACGCGCGTGCCCTCCCGGCACTGCGCACCGTTGGCGTGGCCAGGCGATCGTGGCCGCGCGCCTGTGCCGCGGGGAGGATGGCTCCGAGGCCGGCCACTGGAGGCGCGCCGCCCGCCCCTCTCGGGTATGGCCAGGACCCCAGGTAAGGGGACCCGGTCCTCCTCCTCCTCCTCCTCCTCCTCCTCCTCCTCCTCCTCCCCCTCCTCCTCCTCCCCCCTCCTCCTCCTTCCTCCTCCTCCTCTTCCTCCTCCTCCTCCTCGTCCTCCGCCTCCTCCTCCCCCTCCTCCTCCTCCTCCTCCACCTCCACCTCCTCCACCTCCTCCTCCTCCTCCTCCTCCTCCTCCTCCTCCTCTGGGCCCCCGGAGCCTTTGTATTGGCCAGAATCACTGAGCCAGATTTGCCATAGCTGGTGTTTATTCGGGTGACGGCAGGTTCCGGCTAGAGGAACTGGGACGGGGGGCGCCCCTGGTACAGATCACCAAACCAGGTTCCACTAAACCCAGTTCTGCCAACGCCCGACCCTCAGCAGCAGAAAAGAATATCGGTAGGTTCGTGTCGCGTCGACCGGCGGCGACCCCGCCAGCGGCGTTCAGTTTCAACCGTCGCGGGCGACTCGGAATCGTTCGGTGTGAAACGATTTGGACGTCTCGGAAACGGCCGATCGTTCAAGGTTGAACGATCCCCGCGGTTTCAGAAACCAGCGACAGGGTCGACACGACGCGAACCTGCCGTACCTGCACGGTCGAAGGTATAAGATTCCAGGCATCTTATATGTCTATCACTAAGCTCCTTTTCCCATTTGTGGCCTCATTCCGATCCTACCCCGTACCCCGACCCCTCCGCCTAGTGCGGGCAATGTCTACTTCCACGTCCTGTGCGTCTTGGAGTTTCGAGCTCTCTTCCCCAGAAACATGAGGCGCACTGGAAATGGATTGAAATCTGCCTCCGAAACGCTCGGTCTTTATTTATATCCAGTGCGCCTCGGACTTGCGGCGCCCCTTCCAAGAAAGTCCGAGACGCACTGGATATGGATAGAAGTATTGCCCGCATCTAGCTCCCTTCTCCTCCTCCCGCGCACATCTCGAGTTGGGCCACACGATTGGGCATGAGGAGCTGTTGGGTCGCCAGGGAGACCATCGGGGGGCTGACAAGCCGCGACGCACGGGGTCTCGTTTCATTCTAGGTCTCCTGGAGGGTGTCGGAGGATTCGAGGCTGTTGATCTTGCTAAGGTTCACAGCGTTTTTTGTTGTAGGGGTGAGGACAGGACCAGGAGGACGAGGAGAAGGAGGAAGAGGACGGCCAGAAGGTCGTCAGGACGGGAGGCTGGAGATAAGAGGATGGCCCCGCCCCTTCTTCCTGCGCCAGGCCCCCGCTCCTCTTTCTCTTCCTCCTGCCTCATCCACCTCCTCCCTGGTCCTAGCCGCTAGCGTCGCGAAGGAGCTGGTGGTTGAGTGGTTATGGCTCTCTTCTCTTGGCCCTCTCTCTTCAAGAGTTGTTCGGTCGCCCGCGCGATCCCGACTCGAACAGGATGTGCCGTTGCCCGTGGGCTCCAGGCTCGGAGCGGCCGCCATGTTTTGTCAAGTATAATTTTTGCATCTCTTCCTTTTTCCCTCCTGCATGCCGCCGAATTCGCTTTTTGTAGTGTCCCTGCATCGCTGCCACGCTGGAGCGGATTGTCCCCGCCTCGCCGCCGACGGAAAGACAACGCCATCACACCCGAACCCGCAGTTCCAGTTCCCCCCCGCGACTCCCCCAGATCTGCTTCGAGCGCACAAAACGATGTCGTGCTCAAGCTCTCGCAGCTACCTAGAACAGCACGCTGCGAGTCACACGGGTGTCTCCCTGCGAGCCTTGCGCGGCGTTGCGGCTTTCTTATTTCCCCACGTGCCGGCGGAGCTCGGGCGCGGCGAAGCGGCGCCCCAGGACCCCCAAACGGTGTGGTGACCACACCATGCGGGGAGTCGGTGGGGATTCGGGGTCACTGCACGGTTTTGGGACTTTGGTCGTTCTCCGAGGACGTCTCGGGCGACTGGGGCATCCGAGGTCCCAAAACCGTGCTCGTTGACGGACCGTGCGGTGAGGTCTTGGGGGGTCTCGAGGTCACCGCACGATCTGTCACCGCACCGTTTCGGGACTCCAATGGGGCCCGTCTACGCGCGCGCGTTCCCCCCCTCCCCCCCCCCAGAGGCTGGACCACTTTGACTACCACGTGCAGGGCGACGCGAGGAACTACCGGCCGACGCTGCTCTGCCTCCGCGCCATCCAGGCCCGCCCGACGCCTCCCCTCGAGGCTAGGCTCAGGTTGGCACGACGCCTCCTCCTCCTCCTGCTCCTCCTCCTCCTGCTCCTCCTCCCCCTCCTCTCCTCTCCTCCTCCTCCTCCTCCTCCTCCGTCTCCGTCCCGTCTCTCCTCCTCCTCCTCCTCCTCCCCTCCTCCTCCTTCTCCCCTCCTACCCCTCCTCCTCCTTCCTCCTCCTCCTCCTCCTCCTCCTCCTCCTCCTCCTCCTCCTCCTCCTCCTCCTCCTCCTCCTCTCCCCAGGGCAACGAGGTCCTGGCGGTTTGCGCCGCGCCCAGGCCCTGTGGGGGCCCCCCGCGGGCCCAGGAGTGGCAGGGAACGGCGCCCGGTCCCAGGAGGGGCCCCCCACAGCGGAAACCCATGCCAAGGAGCACCCTGCATTCTGGACGCCCGAAATGGGTACTGAAAGAATGGGTACTATGCCCAACAGCGGATCCTGTTCATTTTGAACAGGGCTCGCTGTCCGCGCCGCCGCGGCCTGTGTCCATTCGAGACAGAAGGCCGCCTGCCCAACAGCGGCCGCTGTTGGTTTGGGACAACATTTGCTGTTGGGCATAGTACCCATTCTTTCGGTACCCATTTCGGGCGTCCAAATGCATGCCTCCAGGGTGCCCCGGATTTCTTGGGTTTCGATGGTTTTGCGATGACAGGCGTGACGCTCCCACATCAAAACCAATGGACGTTTTTGGGGTCTCAGGGTTGGGTTCCTTGTGGAAGGCTTCTCTTGTGGTCGGGTCTCTGCTGTAGGGTTCAGGATCTGCTTCCCTCAGGACCCGTTTCCCTCATGCCAGGCTCGGGTCGGACGGCCAGAGTTTTGCGCGTCGTTCGGTTTGGAAGTCGTCGTCTGCCTCTGGTCGGTTCTTGGAGGAGGCCCTGCCTCGGGATGCCTGCCGGCGGCCGTGCGTCGCCGAGAGCCAAGCCGGGGCGTGCCCGAGCCGCTCCGAACGGCCGCTGGAGGCCCGAGGTGCGGCGCGAGAGCCAGCTTCCTCGCGCGCTGAGAAGATCTCGACTGCAGATGTTCCTCCTCCTCCTCCTCCTCCTCGTCCTCCACTGTGCTTGCCAAAAGGTCCAAAAGGTCTTCCTCCTCCTCCTCCTGCTCCTCCTCCTCCTCCTCCACTGTGCTTGCCAAAAGGTCCAAAAGGTCTTCCTCCTCCTCCTCCTGCTCCTCCTCCTCCTCCTCCTCCTCCTCCTCCTCCTCCTCCCCCTCCTTCTCCTCCCCCTCCTCGGTCGGGGCATTTTCGCTCAGATTCGGGCCCTGGGGCCCTCACATATTGATCCGGCGCCAGCAACTGCGCGCAAAGATGTTCCTCTAGTCGGGGAAGCCGGTGCTCGGGCTTGCCGTCGCTTTTTGAGGAGCGCGTCCCGGATTTTGGCGGTCCGGCTTTCGTGGGATGTTTGCAGCGGGAGTTTGCGTCAAATCTCAGATTGGGTATCGTCATTTTCATGACGACCCCGTCAGTCAAGCAGTGGCGAAGCGTCCTGGCTCGCCTATAGGCCCACCAAAGAGTGTTCTAAGAACCTTTTGTGGTATGCTCGAAATCTTTTTACAACATTTCTGACTGAGACTGTCTTGTTCTCACACATCGGGTTTATGTTCTAAGAACACTGCTTTTGTTCTTAGAAAGTTTTTGGGGTTCTAAGAACATGTCGTGGTGGGCCTATAGGAGTGACGAGACGGTCGGTTCCTGCTCAGGTCAGGCCAACCCGAGTCCCCCGCACCCGAGTCTGGCGCCCCATGGAGCCAGGAGGCGCCGAGAAGAGCAGCTGCTCGAGCGGCTTCGCGAAGCCACCTTTTGCTATCCCCCCCTCGTCCGGTCCGATCCTGAGGATGAGGTGCTCGGCGCAGTCACGTGGGGTGGGTGGGGTGGGGTGGGGGGGGCGTTCGGCGACTGCTGCTCCTCGTCCTCGTCCTCCATTTCTCCTCTTCCGCCTCCAAGGGCAGCAGGCCGCCCGCAAGGTAGGCGGCCAAGCGAGCTTCGCCGCTCAGAGTTTCAAGCAGGCGAGGCTTTCGGTTTTTCGCAAGCGAGTCATCGAGTAGACGCCCGAACTCCACGAGCCCCATTCCGATCCCGATCCTCTTCCTCCTCCTCTTCCTCCTGTGCTCCCTTTTGCTGGGGTTTCGAGGCGCTTGGAGGCTGCTGGACATGCAAGGGAGCGCGGCGTGCTGAACGCCTGCCTGAGGTGCGGCCAGAGATGAGAGCGAGCCTCGCAGGTAGGCTGAAGTCGATGGCACAAGAATAGTATGGTGTCGCTTGGTCGTGCTCTTTTGACTATGTTTGACGATGTTCGTCTCTTTGGCAACTTCCGAACATCCGCCTGTAGGAGGACATGCCCGACCTAAAGCTAGGCGCGATCCATCTTCACGGATGGCACAGTCGGTACGTAACTGAATTCAAATCGGCCTGGAAGGGCATGTTCGAGTTCTCTTGACATGCAGGACGCAGGATTTTCGCGTCAGAGGGTGAAGCGACGGTTGAACACGTTCAGGTACCGCGGGTATCTGCCACGTGCAGCATTGTAGCAGCATGGTGTTAAGGCATGGTGGTTTGGCAAGGTGTACGATCATTAGCTCACTTCTATCCACGGCGGGAATCTGCCGAACATTTGAAAACGCAGCACACGAGCTGGTCATGTCGTGGCGAGCATGCGTTCACAGAGCTGCCTGCCGCTGCTGCTTCTCCTCCTCGTCGGTCCGTCGGTATATACGCAGGAGTTCGATCATGGCACTCTTGTTGAGCGCAGACGTACAGCTATCGCGCAGGAAGTACCAGAGACCGCAGAACCCCGTTGCAGACTCCCATACATCGCCGGAGACCGCTGAGGGCCGAGGAGTAACAGTGGCCCGACACGTGACCCGTGACAGTCCCCTTCCGGGCCCACTTCGACCCGACCGATCTGATTCGATGCCCACCCTCCGAATCCCGCCGGTTCGGTGCGACTTTATTTAATCGCTTCGCTCATTCCGCCGGCCCGTATTGTGCCATCGCAGGCGTTTGCTTGCGCGTTCGTGGCCTCTTGGAGCCTCGGTGAGGCCGTTTGGGGCCTCTTGGCGCCTCTTTTTAGGCCTCTTGGAGAACTCGGGAGGCCTCCAGGGGGCCTCCTGAGCTCTCGTGACGGTCTCTTGGGGGGCTTTCGGCGGGCTCTTGGCGGTATTTGTTGGTCCTCTTGGGGCCTGGGGCCTGACGTTGTTGGTCCTCTTGGGGCCTCACGGGAGCTTATTGGGGCGTCTTGGGGGTGTCTTGGAGAGTCTCTTGGGGCCTCTTTCGGGGTCCTGGGCGCCTTCTGGGGCGGAGGGCTCGATTTTTCAGTTCTCGGTTCCCTTCTTGAGCCCCTCTTGGGCCCGTCTTGGGGCCTCTTGGTCCGCCTTGGGCAGCACTTGGGCCGTCTGGGGGGCGCTCTTGGGCCGCTCCGGGGCCGTCTTGGGAGCCTCGTGGGCCGTCTTGGAGCAGTCTTGAAGGCCTCTTGGGCCCTCTTGGAGCGTCCGGAAGCGAAAAGGCCAGAACGCAAAAAAACATCGAAAAAAACAATGAAAATCAACGATTTTGGCAACTTGGGGCCCTCTTCGGAGGCCTCTTGGAAGGCCCTTGGAGCGTCTTGGAGGCCTCTTGGGCTGTCTTGGGGCCATCTGGGGCGTCTTCGGGCGATCTTTGGCCGTCTCGGGCCTCTCTTGGACCGTCTAGAAAGCTTCTCGGGGCCCTCTTGGACCGATCTGGAGCCCTCTTGGACTCCGAAACAGAACTCCGGCATCTCTGACCCGACCTTGCCGGGGACTTGCCGGGACCTTGCCGGGGTACTTTTCGCCCGGGGACCCCCAGGGGCCGCCCCGCGCGCGCGAACTAGAAATACTGTTAACCAGGTACCGGAGATCTTAGCACGCCCTGGCCCGTTGGGCCGGCGAACTTTCATGATCCGACGATTTGACGCGGCCCGATGCCTCGCAGGCGTGCGGCCGAGCCGATCCGACTCTGATTCCGTGCCGACGCATCCTGATCCGACGCACGTTCCAATCCTATCTAGGTTCCCGATTCTGCGACCAACTTGGACCCTTCCCCTGCGGGTCCGATCGACGGTGCCCCCGCTGGTTTTTGTTGGGGGATGCAGACATGCTGCGAACCTCTGAACCCTTGCCGGCTGCTCTGAGATCTCACCAGCTGGGGCAGGGTCCACGTGCGCCAGCCACGCGCACAAATCAGGAGGGGACAAAAACACAGACACAGTTGATTGTGGATTCCCCGGAAAATACGGGAAAATATGGGAAGTGGGGGGGGAAGACAGAAACCCAGAAAATACGGGAATCTATGGGGAATCCTCTTACGTGTGTATTTATGTGTGTGTCCTTGGGCCCCTTGAACAAAGGGGGGGAGGGAGGGGCGAAGGCTTCTCTGAGGAACACCCCTGCTCTTTGGAGGCGTGGGCATCCTCTGCAGATGCAGTGCCGGCGCCTTCTGAGAAGCAGCCTCCCTCTAGGAAGCAAGTCTTTGGATGCCCGAAATGGGTACGGAGAACAGGGGTACGATGCCCAACAACAAATGTTGTCCCAAGCCAGCAGCGGCCGCTGTTGGCCAGACGGTCTTCTGCCTCGAATGGACACAGGCCGCGGCGGCGCGGACAGCGAGTCCTGCCCAAAAGGGCCAGGAACTGCTGTTGAGCATTGCACCCACTCTCTCCGTGCTCATCTCGCTCGTGCAGAACTTCTCCCCTACCTCCACCCTCCTCTTGGGCGCACTGCCCACCGATTGTTATTGCCATTTTTTGATGTTTGCCATTTTTTATGTTGTTGATTGTTTTTGTTTGTTCCTGATCTTTTTTTTTTTTTTTTTTTTGCTATTTTTTATGTTTCGTCCAAAATCCCTCTGCGGGAGGACAGGCCCGACTTAGCCCTGCCTCCACCCTCCTCTTGGGCGCGCACTGCCAAGTGTGGCTGCCCACCGACGCGGTGCTGGCGGACCCCCGTGCCCCCCCCCTCCTGCCACGCTCGGCCGCAGCAGCCCCGCGGCCTCCCCCCGCAGGAGACGAAGCACGCGGAGACGCCGCCGTGGCCCCACCTGGCGGGCCGCCCGCCCGGGCTGCGGCCCCGCCCCGGCGCCTCCGAGACGCGGCGTGCCGTCATTCGCGGCCCGTCGGCTCCTCCAGCGCGTCCTCCTCCCCCTCGCTCGTCCCCGGCCTCCTCCGCCGCGCGGGCGGCCTCGCACTGCATCCTCCCGCCGGATCCTCCCCCTCGTCTGGGCTCCCCTTCCTCCTTCTCCTTCTCCTCTTCCTCCCTGCCCCCCTCCTCCGTCCTCGTCCTGCTCCTCTGTCTTCCCGCGCCAAGAGTGGCGAAGAGTCCTGGCGTGCCTAGAGGCCAACCGAAAAAAATACGCAAAAACCTTTTGTGGTTTCCATGGAATGTTCTTAGACCATTTCTTGCTGGGACTGGCTTGTTTTAACACATCGGGTTTATGTTCTAAGAACATTGTTTTTGTTCTTAGAACAAGTGTGGGTTCTAAGACAATTTCGTGGTAAGCCTATAGAAATGCCGGGACAGTCGGTCCCTGCTCAATCTACTCATCCGTCCCGCTCCTGCCTCGCCCTCGTGCTCCCCCTCCTCGTCCTCTCCTGCCGCCTCGCCCCGTCCCCTGTCCCACCTGCTCTTCCTCCTCGCCCTCCTCCTGAAGATTGCATACAATGGAGACCCGTGTCAAGAGACACCCTGCTTGCCCCCAGGGTCCCTGGGTGCCCTGGGTTTCTTGGGCTTCGATGATTTTGCGACGGAAATCATGACGTTCGTATACCAAAATCGCTGGACGTCCTGGGATCTCAGGGTTGGGTTTCTTGTGGAAGGTTTCTTGTGGTCGAGTGCCTAAGGTACCATGTCAACCTCTGCCCTCTGCCGGTCGCTGTGGACCTGCCTGGCGTTAGCTTCACTCCTGCAGGCGTCGTCGAGCACGCATACCTCACACCATGTTGTGCGCTCACTGCCTTGGTAGGCTCTGCGGCTGGCAGCTGTGAAGCTGTTTCTGGCAAGTATTATCTTGAAGAGATCGCATCGTTCAAATGCATCTCTGCGGCGGCTGTGCCTCCAATTCGACCGGGCAGCGGAGCTGTGATCATGCGTCCGAGTGGTTGATTCTTGGTTTAGCTGGTCGTTCTTACCGCTTTGCCCATCGGGCTCCATCACCGCTGCGCTCAATCGTCACCGCGCGGGCTGATGGCAGATAATTGGATCACCCATGTCATTCCTTGTCTCCCCACCTTCGCTCACCTTGTCCGTTTCTGCTCTCCCTCCCTTTGATGTTGGTACCAATCCTGGCGAACTCGACCCAATTCTGGCTAATTCGACCCAACCTCAGCCAACTCAGTGCAGTCCTTGCCGCGATTGTATAATCCATTCGCAACCACCACACCAAACAACGAAGACCGATATACCTATGCTGAGGCTTTGGTCTGTCTCTAGAACCAACCATCCCAATACACGCACAACCACGCAAACATCAGTGTACACTTTGATGGCCATAGACCATACTCAGCCAGAAACACACGGACACAGACTCACACACTCAATTACACACTTAATCCTGGACACCCCATGTGTATGCACACACACACTTCTACCTTAGACATTTGATGTGTAAACGCACCCTCATACCACATACACTCAATCGCGCGCGCGTGCGCTAGACCCTGGACAACCAACGCGTAAACACATTTACCATGCGCACGCGCTTGACCTCTAGACCCTTCTTACGAAGGCCCCAGGGCCGCTGCCGCCGACTCTGAAGACGACGAAGTTGAAAGGGAGGGGTGGGGGGTTGCAGGGGAAGGAGGAGGAGGAGTGGCAGGAGGAGGAGGAAGGGGTACAGGAGGTGGATGAGGGAGGAGGTGGGGGGAGGAGGAGGAAGAGGAGGAATAGGAGGGGAGGAACCTCTTGGAGCCTTGGTGGGGGTGTTCTTGGAGAGCTCCTGGGACGTGTAGGAGGCTTCTTGGATCGTCTTGGGCCATCTTGGCCGTCCAGGGCCGATCTTTGAGCGACACGGGGCTCTTGTGGGTAATCTTGGGGGCCATCTTCGGCATTCTGGTTTCTTTCTGGGGCTGTTCGATATGTCGGGGCCCCCCAGGAGAAAACGAATCTGGGTGGCGAACCCCCCCCCGCCTCCGCGGGGAAGGGATCAAAGGGAAGGGGCTTCACTTCGACTCCAATACGACGTTGTACAATTTTGCTTTGGATGTCACGCTTGAGGAGGGCCCAGGGAACGGAACGGGGGACGACGGATACGGCGAGGAGACAACTGTGACGACGACGAAGACGACGAGGAGACGACAGACGACAGAACGGAGAAGCCCCTCGCACACGCCGACAGGGTCGGCGGATTCTGCAAACACATGGGCAGACGTTTGACCCCCAGACACTCAAACCGGAGGCACAGGCCCAAATCTTACACAATACGCACATGCACTTACACCCTAGACGCACAGTCATAACAACAATGAGGCACGCACACTTTTGAATCCGATGCGCTCAATGTGTAATCATACATGCTTGTACCATGCACGCTGAATAAGTCCCCCCTCCCTGGCGCCTCCGGCCCGGGCGCCGCGCAAATGAGCGTGGGAATCCTACCGCAGGCGGTCGCCGCCACCCCGGGGGCCGACCGGGCGCGCCGCCGCCGCCGCCGCCGCGGCCGCCGCCGCCGCTGTCGTCGTCGTCGTCGTCGTCGTCGTCGCCATCAGGGAAGGAGGGGAGGTCGTGGGGGAGTAGGCGGAGCAGGAGAGGAGAGGTAGGAGGGTGGAGGAGGCGGTCGCGGCCAAGACAACCCGCTGAGCTGGCGGCCAAGTTCACCACGGGAGGTGTTCGCCCGTTTTCGGCCACCGCAGACCCTCGTGGGGTCCTACAGGCGGCCCAGATCAGTAGGTCGACCCTGCCAGATCAAGGGTGCCCTCGTGTCCTGTGTCTTGCGACCCATGCCTCCTGCATGTCTGCGGCAACGTGGCCCTCGGAAGGGTCCTGTGTCCTCTCGCGTGCCCTCTCCAATCAGGTCCGACTGTAGTATGGTGCGCAACTGGCTTCTGGACTCCACAGACTCCCCGGACTCGCAAGCTTTCTGGGTGGCGATTCCTCGAGTCGAGGGGGCACGGGAGGCTGTCACGTGTGACACTTCGTGTCCCGAAGTTTGGGAGAGCCATGATGAGGATGATGCTGATGAGGATGACGATGACGATGAGGATGGCGATAATGCGGAGGAGTATGAGGATCTATGATGTGACCATGATGATGAAGATCATGATGATGATGATGATGATGATGCTGTTGCTAATGATGATGATGATGATGATGATGATGATGGTGGTGATCGGGATGGTGATTGTGATGGTGATGGTGACGGTGAGGAGAATGATGATGATAAGGAAAACGTTGATGCTGATGCTGCTGATGATGATGCTGATGACAACGTTCATGATGCTGGTGATGATGATGGTGGTGGTGGTGATAATGGTGGTGATGATGATGGTCATGACGATGTGGACGACGAGTATGATAGTAGTGATGAGGGTGATGATGCTGGTGATGATGATGGTGATGATGATACTGATGATGATGCTGACGATGATGATGATGATGATGATGATGATGATGATGATGATGCTGATGATGATGATGATGATGATGATGATGATGATGCTGATCACGGTGAGCAAGAGGAGGAGGTGGAGCAAGAGGGGAAAGGAGGACGATGAGGAGTGGCAGGAGGAGGACGAGGAGGACGAGGAACGCCGTCACATATGACACAATAAATCTTCACTTCTGAAGGAGTTTTCATGGAGGTTGAGCTTTTGTGGGGCAACCTTGAGAGGTCGGTGTCACTGTCTTGGGGCTCTCTTTGTTAGTCTTGGGCCACTCTTAGGCCGTCCTGGGCCTAATTTCGGCCGTCTTGGAGCCCTCTTGGACCTATTCGGGTTGGTTTGGTACCTTCGTGGGACTATCTTGTCGCCGCCTTTGCCGTCGAGGAGCCCGCTGGGGCTGTCTTTGCTTCCTCCAGGGGCCGTCTTCGACCAGGTTCGGGCCGTCTTGTATGCTTCTTGGGCCATTATGGGATCCTGTTGAGCTGTCGTGGGACCCTTTCGTGGGCTTCTTCGGCCGTCTTGGGGCCATCTTGGAGGCCTCTCGGGCCGTCTCGAGCCGACGGGAGCCCGAACACGGGAGACTACGAGGACCATTTAAAAATCACACGCCCCATACATGTTTCGTTGGTCGTTCTGTTGGTCGTCCTTTTGTGGCCCTCTTGGGCCGCCTTGATGCACTATTTGTCGTTAGTCGCGAAATCGTAGCTCATATTGGCGGCCTTGGTTGCTTGCTTGTGCCGTCCTGGAAGCTCGGGACGCGGATCCACACCTTGTTACCAGGGATCGTGTCCTCGGAAAAAGGGGCGAGGCACGCCGTTGGATGTGTTGGGAGGGAGGGGGTGCCTCTACGTGCCAGGGTTCACGGTTACGGATTACTAAGGACTAAAGATGGGAGCAGAGGATTCAGAATTTTGATATGGAGGGGGAGGAGGAGGAGGGGGAGGAGGAGGAGGAGGAGGAGAAGGGATATGAGGGAGGATGGATACGAGGAGTGGTAGTTATACGTTTCCTGCAGCCCGATGTTCCCGATTGCGAGCGCCCAATCCCGTGGGTGGGCTCGGTTGGTTTCCTAAGGTGGGCACTCGGGGGTGCACGGTGTTCGCAATTCCGACGCCTGTACTTATGTGGGCGCAGGATGATGTTGAGGATGATGCTTATTGGGATGCCGATGATGGAGATGCTGATTGGGATGATGGTGATGATGGTGTATTTGATGGCGATGGTGATGGCGAGGGTGATGGTGTTGGTGATGGTGATGATGTTGGTGATGCTCTTGCTGATGACACTGATGACGCTAATGATGTTGTTGATGTCTTTGCTGATGAGGAAAACTGATAGTGACGGTAATGACGATGACGACGATGGACAATGACGATGACGAGGATGATGATGATAGTGTTGTTGTTGTTGCCGGTGATCATGGTATTGATGGTGAGGGTGATGGTGATGGTGATTGTGGTGATGATGAGGATGGTAATCCAGACGATGGTATGGTGATGAGAATGACGGCGCCAACGACGATTGCTACGAAAGCCAACGAGACCTTTTCATGACGATGATGACAGATAATCTGTCATTGATGGTATCGAACAGTAAGTTACATTTGATGTTGATCGTGGATTCGGCGATCTTCTGCTGGAGCATGGGGGCGTGGACAGTGACGCAAAGAGATCTCACCGCCCTGCGGGGGGCGTTTACAAATCATGCCAACGAAGGTCTCTGAGTCAGCCGGTACTTGGGCGATACAGACGAAGCTTACCACAAACGACGCAACCCGTTAAACGGAGGAAGGTGGGTTGGCGCGTCTGGCGTGTGTCCGACTTAGCTGGTCATATTCTGCGCGCTCTAGTCGGCAATGCTTTACATGTGGTGGAAAGTCTTGCGCCACAGAGATGCCGAGTGGAAGGCCACCATGACAGCTGTATCTCGCCATCAAGGACATCCGGGTAGGGTTGCGGTCTGGAGCTACGAGCGCCAATATGACAGTTATTTCCGAGGAGTCAGGCTCAAATGGGCAGACGTGGTTTTCCATTCGCAAGTTAGGGATCAAGCGCATGCTGAGTTCAAAACAAGCTCGACCAGTTGTTTCCGTATGAGGCGCAGTATTGCATCATGAATGATGTTAGGTTTTGTGACGTATCGTAGCGTTTTGTCGTGTTTATTTATGTTCCTCATTTATTCTCTTTTGGGTGGTAGGAGTTCCACCTCGCAGACGCCGCTTTTTTTCATTTCAATCAGATAGTACTGATGTTACTGACGATGGTAATCCCCATGATGTTGCGGCTGCTGGTGATGATTATTATTGCCACAGGCTGGATTATGGTGCTCGTGATGGTGGTGATGATGATCACGATGCATTCGTCGATGAGCACGAACACACATAGGGTGAATGATGTTGATGGTGTTTATGCGTGATTGTGACGGTGAGTATGTTTGTGTTGGTAATGATGGTGATGTTGGTCATGGGAATGCGGGTGATGGTGATGGTGAGTAGCATACATACCGATGTTGCGAAGGGTGATGACCATACGTTTTTGCTGATGCTTAATCACGAAACAAGTATTATTGTCGGACCCCTTATAGGCGATTTGACTCTCTCGCCTCGGTGCCCGCTGCATTTCCGTTGAAATCGGTATTGGCGTTCCAGCGTTTGTGGAGTTGCCACCCAACCGACCCCCCAGACATCATCATCAGCAACAGCAGCACCATTGGTTCGTTCTTATCTGCCCGCGTGCCATTGTGTATTGTAATGGCCTCCGGCCAGTGCCGCCGATCCGGGGCGCTCCCGATGCGTGTGGGAACGGACGACGACGACGACGACGACCGACGACCGGGTCAACGACGGACGATGATGACGACGACGTCCCTCCTCCCCCCGCTGCCCTCCCCGGTTTCTTGGCCCCCCCCCCGCTTGAGCTCGACCACCCCCTCTGTCCCCGCTCGAGCTTCCTCCTTGGACCCCCCCCCCGCTTGAGCTCGACCCCCCCCCCCCCTCCTCGCTCGAGCTCCCCCCTCCCTCGATTCTTGGACCCCCCCCCCCTGACCCTCGAGCACGACCCCCCCCCTCCGTTCGACCCCCCCCCCGTCCTCGCTCGAGCTCCCCCCCCCCTGATTCTTGGACTCCCGCCCCCCCCCGCGCTGACCCTCGATTCCTGGACCCCCCCCCCGCGCTGGAGCGTTCAGTGAGTTGCGTGGATAATTCGCCGGATCCCGACCCTCCCCCCAGAGCGAAGCTTGAGCGAACTCAAGCCCTCGACTCACCCCCCCGTCCTCGCTCGAGCTCCCCCCCCTCGATTCTTGGACCCCCCCCCGCGCTGGAGCGTTCAGTGAATTGCGTGGATAATTCGCCGAATCCCGACCCCCCCCCCAGAGCGAAGCTTGAGCGAGCTCAAGCCCACGCTCTCAGAAACTCACACGCCGGATCGGCGGATTTCAAACCCTCGATGCCCGCCTTCTTCGTCTTCGATCGTCCCCCTTTGGGGTGTACCTTTCTTACCTTGAGGGCGTATTTCGTGCAGACCCTCAGGCAGGGGAACAGAGGACGGATGGAAGGAAGGGACAAGGGGGAGGGAGGAGTATGGAGAGTAGCCGGAGGAGGCTCGGAGCAGAAAACACGTGGCATAACCACACGGCCTGATTTGGCGGGTAGACCCTGACTGGCGTGTCGGGAAGGTGGACCCAGGCGGCCAGGCCGAGCAGGGGGGTCATTGTGCGTCTTGCACGAATCGCGAGGAGGTCTCGAGCGATAGCGCGATTCCCAAGTAAATCGTGAGAAATCCACAACGAGAGCGTGATTCTGGAGTGCCGAGGGCGCGGCGTCTGAATTAATTGCGAGGAAGTCCCACGCGAGAGCGCGATTGTTGCTTAAAGAGTGAGGAAGTCCCGCGCGCGAGAGCGCGATTGGGGAATAAGTTGTGAGGAGTTACCCGGCGGGAGCCGTTTCTGTTGTAAGTCGGGCGCCAGGGGCCCAATCTGAAAAACCAGGTGCGAGTTCAAAGAGGAACATTGCAAGTTAGAAATGCAAGTATCTCCCGAGGGCGGGGCCGACATTAATTATTCTTTAGAAACATTCCCGTGCGATACGTCATCAAAGTGTTTTGGGGGACGCGATTGCCAGAGTGGGCCCGAACCTCAGGAACGGCTCTCTCGCGTGAGACATCTTTGTCCTTGCTGCTACTCGCGGATGTCGGAACGGCCGTTTCGCTTGAGACTTTCTTGCAATTCAGCACCGCAAGGGGATCCATCAGAGCAGTCTTGCCGCTGCTAGCGGAGGCCCCAGGAGGAACCGGGACGCTCCAGGGGTATGTGTTCCGGGAACGTTTTTCGGTCCTCCCGCCTCCAGCTGCATTGGGGTATGTCTTCGGGGGGCGTTTTTTCGGCTTTCCCGCCCCCGGGAGACCACAGGATACCCCAGGAGATACTTGTCTGAATTGGGAGATGTGTTCGGGAAGCGCTTTCCAGCCCCCCCCGCCCTCACCAGGTGCCACGGGGCCCCAGGAGGCATTGTCATGCTGCGTTGGGATGTGTGTGCGGGGAGTGCTGTACGGACCACCGTGGGCTTCGCCCCCATCGGCTGCGCCGCCTCTCTCCTGGGGCTCGAGTGTCATGTGTTTCATGTATGTTCCTATCGATGGCCCCTCGAGTGGGGCTCGAGCCCTCCTTGTGTTTCGCGTATGTTCCCACAGACCGACCCTCGACTGGGGCTTATGTTCTGAGTGTTTGGGGCTCTTCTCCCGAGGCTCGACACCAGCGACGACGACGATACATGACGTGGACGGTGACGACGACACTACCTGAGCGACACGGTACAACACGACGACCGACGGGACGCCCGCAGCAGATGATGATGAGGAGGAGGCGGAGGAGCAATGGGAAGAGGTGGGAAGGGGGGGGCAAGGGGGAGGGGGGACAAGTTGAGGAAGAGGAGAAAGAGGAGGCGGGCGAGGAGCAAGAGGAAATGGAGCAGGAGGAGGAGGAGGAGACGGACGGGAGGAGCAGGAAGAGGAGGGAGGATCGATGCTTTTTGTTCGCGCGTCGAGCTCGCCTGCCCCCCGCTGCTGCCCCCGGCGCCCGACCGCTCCCGCTCCCCCCTTCTCGGGTCGACCAACGGCGATGCGGTACACGGGGGGGGGTGAGGAAATGTGCGACTTGGGTGCCCCGCCGGGGCCCTGCAAGAGGCCCCCCGGGGCCCAAAAGGGGCACGAGAGGTGCACGTTCCCCCCCCCCCCCTCTTCCCCCCCCCTTTAGTCGCCCCCCTCCCCCCTTTTCGATTGGCCCCCCCCCCCCCTCTTCCCCCCCCCTTTAGTCGCCCCCCTCCCCCCTTTTCGATTGGCGCCCAAACGTCCGCCTCCTCCCCTCCCCCTTCTCGGCGGGCGCGCGGCAGCGTGCGGACGCGCGGCGAGAAGTGAGGGACGGGACGGGGAGGGCGGCAGGGAGAACGCGGACGTGCCCCTCCTCCTCCTCCTCCTCCTCTTCCTTGCCTTCATCCTCCTGTTCTTCCTGCTCCTCCGTTTCCTCGCTCCTCGTTCCTCGCCCGTCCTCCTCCTCCTCCTCCTCATCATCATCATCCTCATCCTCATCCTCATCCTGCTCCTGCTCCTCGTCCTGCTCCTCCTCTTCCAACTCCTCCTCCTCCTCCTTTTCCCTCCTCTTCCTCCTCCTTCTCCTCCTCCTCCTCGTCCTCCTCCTCCGACCCTCCGACCCGCCGAGCCCCCCCCCCGCGCGCAACGAGCGGACGACCCCCGCCGAGAGGCCCTGCCCACGCCGCGCCGGGCGCACAACGGCGCGCTCGGCCTGCCGCGCCTGGGCTCCGCCCAGGCGCGGCCCTCCCCGCCCCCGCCCCGCCTCGTTCGGCGGCGGGCCCGGGGGGAGAGAAGGAGGAGGAGACGTCGGGAGCTTTGAGACGGGGGTCAATGCAAACGGGGGTCAGCCAGAGCACCAGATCCTGCAGGATCCTGCGAAGACCCCCTCTGGCTGACCCGGGTTAGCGAGCCGCTCGTTGCCGCGAGGCGGCCGCGCATATTGTCTGACTCGGATTTGCGAAGACCTGCGTTGCAGTTTTTGTTCCTGCATTTCAGTTTTTTTCCTTCTCGGAAGGCTTGGGCCGGACGAAAGGGGTGGATTGGGAAAGGGGGGTTACGAAATCTGCTGCACGCAGCTGGTGTCGGCCCCGCCGCCAGGCCCATTCCTCGATACCTGGGCGCCTCCGGCACCGGGAGGCGCCGGGAAAATCAGCTACGTGAGCTGGCCCCGGGGGGAGAGGTGAGGAGGAGACTCATGATGCTCCAATCTACTTTAGCCTTGATCACCAGAATGAATGTCGAGCACCAAGGCAACACCCCAAAACTTGAGGGTTTACACGTGTCGGGCCCTGGGAGTGGAGACGCTCTTTGGACACTGTTGCGACACTCTTTCGACACTCTTTTGGCATTTCTCCTGGTGCTCGAAAGTATTTCTGGAATGTGGTCCTTAAGTACGATGGGAGCAACATAACCCGGGGGGAGAGGTGAGGAGGAGACGTTCTTCTCGGAAGGCCCAGATGCCCCCTGGCCTTTAAGAAGTTTTCTGGGCCTCCCCCGGAGGCACGAGCGACTTCTCAGAATCGGAGGTTGATAGACCTCTTACCCTGACACGTCGATTAGCGAATTGACCGTTTTTGGTTCGCGAGAGGGCGTCGCGGCCGTCATGTTTGCGGGTCCAGGTCCGTCGGTTTCAGTTCTAGGCCGTTTTCACTAAAGGGAGGTTTACTAAAGGAAGGTTTGTCCACCGCCGACAGAAGGAGCGAGTGTCTCTTTCAGAAGTCCTCCTGAGAGGGCCTCGCTTCCTCCTCGCTTCCCTCCCCTCGCTCGCCGCCGAGATGTGTACGCTTTGTCTTGTGATTTGATGCTGGCTGATCCTGCCCCTTTTCCTCTGGCGGCATCTGCCGCCCCCTCCTTCGGGTTGACCCAAAGGGGGTCCAGCGACAAAGGGGTTCTGCAATAGATTTGGTGCAATTGATGTGTTGGGTTGCCTTACACTTGGGGCGTGCAATACATTCTGGGGCGCAAATGTATTGTTGGATCTTCGCGTGCAATACATTCGGTGCAATACAATGCAATACATTTTGCAAGACAATTACCCCAAATCTATTGCACAACCCCCTTGCAGCTGGACCCGTCCTGGGTCACCCAAACTCCTGCCTCGCGCCCGCCGCGCAAGAGGTGGACTCCGTGTCGGCCCTGTCCAGCGTGTCCAAGGAGTGCCGCCGGGCCCGCATCGCGCCGCGGTGCTTTTGTCCTCCAGCTTGCCAGCCTCCAGGAGGCTTCAGTAGGGCTGGACCCATTCCTCAAGTAGTGGCGAAGCGTCCCAGCTCGCCCATAGCCCTACCAAATTACCCCAGTGCGACCCTACCTAGAAGTTGGAGCCCCTAAGAAAGCAGCATTAGTTGCTATGCTGTGCTATGCTATGCCATGCTATGCCGCGCTATGCTATGCTATGCTATGCTATGCTATGCTATGCTATGCTGCGCTATGCTATGTTATGATATGCTATGATATGCTATGCTATGCTATGCTATGCTATGATATATCATGCTACGCTATGCTCTGCTGTGCTGTGCTAAAGCTCAGCGAAGCTAAGATGGAGGTAAGCTAGCTAAGAGAGAAATGAGCTAAGATGAACCTAAGCTAAGCTAAGAAGAAAAACGCGAATCTAAGATGAGATAAGCAACGCTAAGCTAAGGGGCCGTAACTGGGGGAACCGCGGGGCGGATACTGGGGGAACCGCCCGGGGCGCCATCCACTGTCCTGCCCTTTAAGCACACCGAGTAAGAACCCTTCTAGGCAGAGCCTAGGTAAGGAATAACGAGTCTAACAATACGGGTAATAATCACACTACTAAGAAGATTCCACCCAGGCTATGATATGCTATGCTGCGCTATGCTATGCTATGCTGTGCTCTGCTGTGCTATGCTAAAGCTCAGCGAAGCTAATATGAAGGTAAGCTAGCTCAGATAAGCCTGAGCTAACATGAACCTAAGCTAAGCTAAGATGAAACAAGCGAAGCTAAGATGAGATAAGCGACGCTAAGCTAAAGGGACGTAACTGGGGGAACCGCGGGGCGGATACTGGGGGAACCGCCCGGGGCGGGCCCCACTACCCGGCCCTTTAAGCTTACCGAGTAAGAACCCTTCTAGGCAGAGCCTAGGTAGGGAACAATGTTCTAAGAACTATTTGTGGCTTCCACGATATGTTCTTAGTACATATCTGGCGGAGCCTGTCTTGTTGTATCACATCGGGCTGATGTTCGAAGAACATGGTTTTTGCTCTTAGAACATGTTTGGGTTCTAAGAACATTTCGTGGTAGGACTATAGGAATGCTGGGAGGGTCGGTCCCTGCTCAAATTCCTCGTCTTGTCGCCACGGGGGACGCGGGTCCCGAAGGCAACGGGCCCTGCGGATTTTCTCTTGGTGTTCGGGCGTTCGTGGCCCTCCACGGGCCCCCGGGGACGGTGAGGACACGACTCGGAAGGAAGACTTCGTCCCTGGGGGGAGGCCCCAGGGCCCAGGACCCGTTTCCTTCGGGACCCGTTTCCCCCTTGATGCGATTGTCGTGTATTGCTTGGCATCGCTCGGACGTGTGCACTTTTCCGTCGGCGAGGACCATCGAGGAGCATCCTTGATCATTTGGCGGAAAAACCACGCACGCACCCGACAAAGAACACAGGGAAGGGACGTCCGAGCGATTGTCGTATATCACCAAGTGCAAGACGAGGTGTTGGGCCATGTGTCTGCCTCCGGGGCACTTTCGCCGGGCCCGAGGGCCGTCAGGAAGCGGCTCGGGATCAGGGGCCAGTCCTGGGGAACAGATCTGGGCCCCATAAGGAGAAAAACGTTGTGAACAGATCGTTCGGTGGGTGGGCTGGTGAGCAAGAGGTGGTCATGGCAGATCGCGGCTTGGTGGACTCCCGTTATCCGAGCGAACCAGCTGCCGGGAGGTCCAGGAACGCAAGGCCGAGGCCTCGATCCAGCGCGCTTCCCGAGGCTTCGAGGCGCCACTGACGCCCACCTGCTGGAAGAAGGGACCCCTGAGCTGGCTCCCGTGATGCGTCTCTCCAATCACGCGCCCTCAGCATCGCCCGATGACTTTCCAGTGCCCGAGGGGGAGGGTTGAGGGAGGAGGGAGGCTGGCGGAGAAGGATGCGGCGCCCTGCCTACCGCCCCCCCCCCCCCCTCCTGCTTTCCAGTCGCACACGTCGCGCCCCAGGAGGACAGGGAACAGACCGCGCGCTCGAAGAAGCAGTCCCGCCAGTCTCGCGGCGGCTCGTTCAGCGCGCCGCGCAAGAGGAGCTCCATCGGAGCGCACACCGCGTAGGTCCCCGCCCAGGCGAGGAGGAGGATGAAGAGGAGGAGGAGGAGGAGAAGGAGGAGCAGGCAGACAAGGAGGATCAGGAGGGGAGGAGGAGGAGGAGGAGGAGGAGGATGAGGAGGAGGAGGAGGAGGAGGAAGAGGAGGAGAAGGATGATGATGATGAGGAGGAGGAGGACGAGGAGGAGGAGGAGGAGGAGGGGGAGGAGGAGGGGGAGGGGGAGGAGGGGGAGGAGGAGGAGGAGGAGGAGGATACTGATATGATGACCAGTGTGCTGGTGATAATGTTGATGACGATGATACTGATGATGTTGATGCTGATGCTGATGTTGATGAAGGTTATGATTCTGATGATTGTGCTGCTGATGATGATGAGTATGGTTATGATTACGCTGTGCTGATTATGAGGATGATGCTGATACTGATGCTGATGACCATGATGAGGAGGATACGGATGGGGATGAGGAGGAAGACGATGAGGATGCTGATGATGATGTTGCTGCTGATGATGATGACTATGCTGATGCTGATGATGATGATGATGATGATGATGATGATGATGATGATGATGATGACGATGATGGTGATGATGATGACGGTGCTGATGATGCTGCTGGTGATGGTGCTGTTGATGAGGATGATGATGGCGATGTCGATGCTGATGATACTGGTGATGATGGTGGTGATGATGCTGCTGATGCTGCTGCTGATGCTGCTGCGGAAGATGCTGATGATGTTGATGATGATGTTGCTGCTGCTGATGATGATGATGTTGATGATGATGATGATGATGATGATGATGCTGATGCTGATGATGGTGATGATGATGATGATGATGGTGGTGATGATGATGATGCAGAGGAGGAGGAGGTGGAGGAAGAGAAGGAGGAGGAAGAGTACCTCGACTTGGATCTGGAGGCCCCCGAGCTTCCTCTGGGCCCCGTCCTGGCTTGTGGCCTCGAAGTTTTGACGGCGCTGTTGGCTGAGTGGGTCTTCATTTATTACTCGTGTATGCCCCTCCTCCACTGTTCCTCAGGTTTTTTCCCTAGGGTGTCACGCTTAGTGATCGGGCCAGGGTGGTAGGAGTATGCTTAGGTTGGCAGGGTTAGGATTCAGCTGTTAGGTTTAGGGTTTGAGGGTCAGGGTGATGGTGTTAGACCAGCATGATCAGGTTCGCGTGTCAGGGCCAAGTTGACAGGTTTAGGCTCAGGGTGGCAGGTTTAGGCTTGTTGCTGAGGGTGCTAGGGTTATGGTTAAGGTGCCAGTGGAAGGTTCTTAGAATTAGGATGTTAGGGTGTTTGTTAGGGCGCCATCATGCTAGGGTTACAACCTAGTGCTAGGCTGTTCGGATGTTAGGGATAGCTTTAGTATTCGGGTTAGGGTCGTGGTGCTAGGTCCTGGAGGGTAGCGTTAGGGTGGTAGGGGGGCTGGGATTGGGCATCGTGCTTCTGGTCTTGGTGTAGGTTCAGGTCAGTGTGCTCGGGCTGGGGTGTGAAGGCTAGTGTGGTAGGGCGGCGGGGGTAATTAGGGCTCTGGGGCAAGGGGGGTACACCCCCAATGTCTTCTTGGGGAAAGGGGGGGCAGGGTTGGACTGCAACCCTCTGCCTGAACGGCGTGCCCTCCCTTTTGTGACGTTGGGGACGAGGCGCTGTCTGGATTTTCCCGTAATCAGTGATGACGTTTTCGCTTGTGTTCGGAGGATGTCGGATATTTTCAGGGGGCATCGGATGCTTCAAAAGGCTATTGGATGTTCTCGAAGGGAGAGGATGAGGAGAAGGGCCAGGAGGAAGAGGAGGAACGATGGACCAGGAAACACGGGCGATGGATGAGCATGAGGAGGGGGAGAACGAGACGGTGAGGAGGAAGCCGATTCCATGACTGCTGCTTCCTGTGCAACACAGGTCACTGCCGCAGGTCGTAGAACCGCGGGTCATGTTTTCATCGGTGCTGTTTCACGTTCGCCACTGCTCGCGGGTGTGCTCAGACCCACATGTTGGTGTAATCCATTTACTCTTCTCCCTCCTCGCCTTCCGCTTCTCAACCATGCTGCAGCGAGATGGATCTGGAGGGAGGTCGTGATCACGGTCATGAGAATTTGCGTAGCGGTTATGTAACCATGCGTCCACGTTTCGAGTTTTTCCCGTCCGCCCGGCGACACGCTATCAGCTCGCAAGGCCCTGCGACGCAGCGATTTCGCCGCCGCGACACGCTGAGGAAACAAAAAACCTCACCGTGTAAGAATGTTTAGGCTTTGACGTGTGAGCGGGCATCCTCCGATCCCAGACCCCCTCGAGTCACATGCAGTTGTGAAGGACCCAACCATATGCAGTTGTGAATACCGTCGTTGTGAGTATCGCATTCGGTGGTACTCTCTATGGACCAAGAAACGCTGCCCTGGGCGGGGGGGACGCATGCGAACTGTGCCACTGGGACTTCGGTGGGGCTCCCTATGGGGCTACGAAACGTTGCCCTGGGTGGGGGAGACGCATGCGGCCCCCGCCACTAGGGCCTTCGGTGGGGCTCCCTATGGGGCCACGAAACGCTGTCCTGGGCGTGGGGGACGCATGTGCCCCCCCCCCACTGGGGCCTTCGGTGGAGCTCCCTATGGGGCCACGAAACGCTGTCCTGGGCGTGGGGGACGCATGTGGCCCCCCCCCACTGGGGCCTTCGGTGGAGCTCCCTATGGGGCCACGAAGCGCTGTCCTGGGCGTGGGGGACGCATGTGCCCCCCCCACCGGGGCCTTCGGTGGAGCTCCCTATGGGGCCACGAAGCGCTGTCCTGGGCGTGGGGGACGCATGTGCCCCCCCCCACCGGGGCCTTCGGTGGAGTTCCCTATGGGGCCATGAAGCGCTGTCCTGGGCGTGGGGGAATGCGGCCGCATGCCCCACTGGGGCCTTCGGGAGCTCCCTATGGGGCCACGAAGCGCTGTCCTGGGCGTACGCATGGGGCCTTCGGTGGAGCTCCCTATGGGGCGAAGCGCTGTCCTGGGCGTGGGGGACGCATGCGGCCCGCCCCACTGGGGCCTTCGGTGGAGCTCCCTATGGGGCCACGAAACGCTGTCCTGGGCGTGGGGGACGCATGCGGCCCCCCCCCCACTGGGGCCTTCGGTGGAGCTCCCTATGGGGCCACGAAGCGCTGTCCTGGGCGTGGGGGACGCATGTGCCCCCCCCACCGGGGCCTTTGGTGGAGCTCCCTATGGGGCCATGTAGCGCTGTCCTGGGCGTGGGGGACGCATGTGGCCCCCCCCACTGGTGATGATGATGATGATGATGATGATGATGATGATGATGATGATGATGCTGATGCTGATGATGATGATGATGATGAAGATGATGATGATGCTGATGATGATGATGATGATGATGATGATGATGATGATGATGATGATGATGATGGGAGGAGGGGGTGAGCTGAGACATGCGGAGAGCAAAGGCAAGGATGGGGGAGGAGGGAGAAGGAGGAGGAGAGGAGGAGGAAGGAGGTGGGACGCGGGGCGCTGTCTCTTCAACACGAGGACCCAATACCACAGGATGGTTGGGAAAAATCGCGACGCGAGGTTTTTCGTTATTTTCGGCCTCCGGGAGCCGGCCCTCAAGACCGTCAAAAAACGACTCAGGATGAACACCGGTCCCGTGGAATGGGTCCGGACCTTTGGGGGTCGCGTCATGAAAAGTCATGACGTCGGGGGTTTGGGATTGGAGGTTGTGTCATTCCGCGCCTTCGGGCAGCTGGCTTTTTCCTCCACTCCAGTGGCCCTTTCTCCCGCCTTCCCTTGCTCGCCTTTGTTGTTGTCCTTTCCTCTTCCTCCCCTTTTCGTTATTCTTCCTTCTTCTCCATCCCTCGTCCTTACAGAAGTAATCTCCTCGTCGCACCGCCAGACGTGTCTAGAGGCGTGGCTGGACGTGTCGCTTGAGACCGCTCCACTGCGCATGATCCTGCACTTCGGAGGCCCCGACAGTTACCTGGACAGAGTGCCAGTCGTTTTCAAAATGCAGTTCTCGCCGGCTCTATTCGACGAACGTTATCACTGGCTACACGGATGGGGTGCCGGTCGTTTTGAACATGCAGGTTACGTAGCGCCAAAAGCAATGGATTTAACAATTCAGTGTAGGGATGGAGGCCAGTATGTTTTAGAGTGTAGTTTTCGCAATGCATTTCTTCATCTGGCCCAGAATTCTTAGTCGTGCACTTGTTTCTCCCCCCTGGCCGACGTCCTCTCAATATCCGTCCGCAGACCTCTCCCAGGGATACATCCTGCTTCGGTTTCCGAGGTTGATCCAGTCGTGGCGGCGAGAAGCCTCGGGGAGGCCCGAGAAAAGACGAACACCCCAGGGAGGGCCGCCCACGTCTCGATTGGCCCTCCTCCGACTTGTGGGCAGTGCACCTCCCTCCCCCCTGCCGGCCTTCTGCTCGGTTCGGGCGAAGGGGCTCGGATGCAATTCCTGCGAGGTCAAATTCTGACTTTGCCCTGGTCTGAAATCCGGCTTCATCCCGCTGACTCTGGCTGAATCCCGCTTCATCCCGCTTAGTCCGCGGCCTAATCAGGCGAAGCAGCCCCCCACTGGGGCGTAATCCTCCCTGATCCTTCAAAGACCTCCCAGCAGTTGCCTTCTAAAAAAGGGGGGGGAGAGTGGGAAGGGCAAGGTGTCTGCGTGCCAGCTCCGCTGCCAGAGCGGTCCCCTGGAGGGCAGACGAGGAATCTAGCGCAGGGTCGGCCAAACGCCGCGCGGGCAGTCTCTCATTGGTCGACAAGTGTGCACCATGACAAAAACAGGGGAGGGAGGGAGGAAGGAGGGAGGAGAGGGGGAGGGAGGAGGGAGGGAGGAAGGAGGGAGGGCGAAGGGAGAAGGAGGAACGAGGAGGGAGGGCGGAGGGCTCTTACTTATCGAAAAGGGGGGAGGAAGGAGAGAGGAGGGAGGAGGAAGGAGGGAGGAAAGGGGGGACGCACGCACAGCAAGAGGCAAGGGAGGTCGGGAAAGGGGGGGGCACGACATCTTCTGCAGGCA